TCTACAAGACAATTGATCAGTTTTCTTCAAGTCAGTGCCATAGAAAACAGTAAGGATGGGATACTCTAGATGTCTAGATGAAAAGAGACTGGAGAAACACAGAAAACAAACCTGATGTTTGGCATGTGTTAGACCAGCGGTTCTCAACCTGTGGGTCACGATCCCTTTGGGGGTCGAACGACCCTTTCACAGGGGTCGCCTAAGACCATCGGAAAACACACATATATATAATTACATATTGTTTTTGTGATTAATCACTACGCTTTACGTTCAACTTGTAACAATGAAATTGGGGGTCACCACAACATGAGGAACTGTATTAAAGGGTCGCGGCACTAGGAAGGTTGAGAACCACTGTGTTAGACAGTTAGAGGTAGCTGAGTATAGATTGGGGACTAGATGATACCGAGGAATTATTAATTTTATTCGTTGTGATAGTGGCATTGTGCCTGTAGAAGTAGGGGGTGAAATGATACAATGTCTTTAATTGTTGAAATTGGATGATAGTACACCAGGTTCACTATACAATGTCTTTACCTTTGTTATATGTTTAAAATTTTTCAAAAAAGCATATTATGATTTAAAAAAAACCCTCTACCTACAAAGGACAACAAAGGAAGCAAGCAGCAGTATAGTATGTTACCATTTGTGAAAAAAAGTGAACCTGTTTATTTTTTATAGACATAGGATATCCTGGAAGGATATGCAAGAAACTGGTAAAAGTGCTCGCCTCTGGAGAGAGGAACTGAGTGATTGGAGGACAGGGGTGCAACGGAAACCATTCAAATAACTTCTTGAAGAGGACGAAGACATTACAAAAGGAGTGAAATTAGTTTTCATACACTTGGCTCTTAATGAGTTTGATTAATTTCTCCCAATACCCTTGTCATATATTAGTTGTAAACTGGGCATTTGTGGGGCACATTCGACTGAGTTAACTTATTTAAATGACAGTAGAGAAATTTATTTAATAAACATGTATTCATTGTATGCTGCTATGGGTGCTGGGCTTTAGGGGACAAAAAAAGATGAGTCAGACACTTGTCATTAAAATGATATGGCTTAACATCAACTTACTAATGCTTTCTTTTTTACTTTAAGCATGAAAAGGAGGAACCTCAGGATGACTACTTTTATTTTGACTGTCTTTCTGATTCATTAAGAAATGTATTTATCTGTGCCAAGTAATATGAATAATAAAGATTTGTCAGTCAGAGGTATGACGGAATCTCAGTGAATATAGAAACTTTATGCGTTGGATATTCTGTTCTTAGTTACTGTAGCAAAATCCTTAAATAAGAGAATAGCATGAAGTGGAATTAGAGAGCTAAGTGATAATAAAATACCACATCATTCCACTGATTATGTAAAGAGCCCTATTTTTCCATAGTAGCCGCTTGATTCTGAGCTACATATACATACATTAAAAAAGATAGAACCCTTTAAATTCAAAGGAGACCAAAATGATGTTTTTGCAAGTAATTTTTCTGATGTTATGGAAGACGAAATGTTATGCCCTTATTTCTATTTTATCTTTGGGTGAAAAAAAGTTAAGCTAATTGAATTGGTGCTGAAGGTTTTTGTTTTAAATCTTATTCAGATTACATTGGGGAAATATTTAAAGAATAATGTTAAGAGCTGATGCACTACAAATCATTTGAATGGCTGTTTTCTTCTTTTTCCTTCCCTTTCTAGCTCCCCTTTAACTTACCTTTGACAAGGCACTGTATCATACCAACTTTACAGTCTTTGCAAAGTGGCTCTGACTAATGATGAGAATTCTGAATTTGTCAAAATAAAGATAGAATACCGTGAAAATGCCCAAAGTTGGACAAATCTCAATGGAATCACAAACTGAGGACAATCAAAACTTCCTAAACTGATGGAGCTCCAGGAGATGGGTCTGGCAGGGAACCAAAATATATTCAAAATGGTGAGACAAATACTGTATGAGGCAGTTCATCAGAAATCCTGCACTGTAGTTGACCTTAAAGGTTCCAGGCCACCCTAAGACACCTGCTTTGGGCTGGTTTGAGCAACAGAACATAGGGCTACCAGGACCACAGCTGATCCACTGTGCCTGGTCTTGGTAGGGAAGAACCTTTTCTTTGGTGTTTTCTAAACCTCTGAAGCTTATAATTCTGAGGGAGTGACTAGATGAAAGGAGACCTTTAAAGACCTCTTATCAACAGAATCAATTTGAATATCAGGTGTGGCCTCTCTAATCTTTCCAACCCTCCTGAAAGGCAAGGGCTGTAATTTATTCAGTAGGATTCTGCACAGCTGGGAGGAAGAGTGTTTTGTTCATAATGAGTGCTGGCACCAAACCAATAAATATTTTTAAAATTGATTTAAATAGGCAAGTTACAGTTGTGCGGGACTTTATTTATTTTGTCTTTGATGTAGACCCAAAGCCATCACTTATCTCTCTGAAGTTAAAACAAATATATTCATGTAATTTCTCTCAACACTTACTATATTTCAGTTCATCACTTTTAATTATGTAATAAAAACTCTTAATGACAAATATGAGCTAATCATCTTATTTGTTTAGTATATATCTATTCCATTTCAGATAGATTTAGAATGATATTTCATACATGACAATAAATATATTAGTTTTAAAGTAGGTCTTGGCCTAGACAAACTGTTTTAAGAGTTTTGTGGCACCTATAAATAAATACATCTCCAGAATCAAAGAAGTCAATCTATTCAACATAGTTTAGTGATAGAGGGGCAATTTACTATGACCGCAGATTTAACAAAAAGTTTTTTAGTGTCTTTCTATAATACCTTGCTATTACAGACCATTTAAGAAAAGCATGATTATCTATATAACAATTTTTAAAATAGCAAATGACTAAAGAGACTTAAAAGTTTCATGTTTAGTAAGAGTTTTGATGATCCACAAAAATATTTCAAAAACATTTTTAACCAGTTAATAACCCCTTCTCAAATCAATGAGTAAGTGACCAAAAGAGAAACATCCTACTTCACATACTGTTTATAGTAACCATTTGACTTGGATTTAAGATAAATCCAATTTAGCATTATTATTGGTACTCTTCTAGATCCCATGTTTCTTCAGACATTTCAAGAACCTTCCATAGTGTGTTTTATATACGATAGAAAAAGAAAAATTAATCTCTAGCATGTCCTGTGTTGGGTACAATAATAACAATTGTTTCCTGAATCCATGTAAGCAATTTTCTCTTAAAAAGACATTTAAATCTACATCTATCATTCCATCCTGAATAGTCAGGAATGAGGTGAGACCCCATGCTTAGAGATAGCTAAAAATCTAAAATATAGCCCAGCCATTGTGGGTCAATGGTTGAGCATCCACTCGTGAAACAGGTCATGGTTGGATTCCAGGTCAGGGCACAAGCCCAGTTTGGGGCCCAATCACCAGTAAGGGGGTGGGGTGGGAGGGGCGCGTGCAGGAGGCAGGGTATAGATGTTTCTCCCTCATCCATGTTTCCTTCTCTCTATTCCTCTCCCTTCCTCTCTCTAAAATCAATTAAAAAAAAATTTAAAAAACCCCAAAATATATTAATCCTTGCAAAATGTCAAATATCTGCTTTTCAAATAAAATGAAAGTAACTTAATTACATGCTGCACCAAAACTCACATAATATTCCCTCTATAATTATTAGGTAATATTCTCTCCTAGAACTTATAATTAAAAAAAGAGTTGGAGAGGTTTCTGTAAAGCTAAAGATGTCCAATGGTAATAGAAGCCTGAGTATCTTGCTTTCATCTTGGTTCTGAGTATAGGCAATTTGTAGAAAATGTGGCTCCCACATCCACCTTTCCCCAGGGAGTGGACACAATTCTGAAAGGGGGATAATGTCATAAACTGTTGGTGTATTATATTAAGAGAACCACTAGAAGATATCACACCACACAAAATATGATTTTATAAACAAATGTGGAATATTTGGTAGAATTTTTTTCTCTTCAATATGGACACAATTGGGTTTGCTCAGGTATATACATATGCACATAGGAAGTCAGGAGGTTAAGACTAATAGTGCAATGGGGGGAGGGGAGCAATTGCATATCATCTGGCTCTTTAGCATCAATCAACTCCTGGTCCGGTATTTAGAGCTCTAGCTTGTGGAAAAAAATGGATTTTAGTTCTAGATGTATTTATAATGGTTTACTTCCCCAAATGCTGCACTCTTTATTCACACAGAATGTGGTGTTTTGTTTTCCAGTTCCTGATGCTCTGCTTGGCAGGAAAAGGGACAGTCTGAAGGCTTGGTAAATTGATTAGATGGAATGAGTTTTACCCCCCGTCCTAGATAATCTAAAATAAACTGCCACCATGTTTTCCTCTGATGGGTGGAGACAAAGCTGAAGAATGTGAACTTAAGTCAGATTTTTTGCTGGTCTACAGTGAACTATGGTCACTGTGACTACTATAGAGAGAGAGGACTAAGAGCCAACTCTAAATTTAGAAATAATATCTTTTCAGACCTCGGGGAGGAGTCTCATTTTCAGAGCACTTACTGGTTACTGGTAAAAGCAATTTTACATCTATTGGGAAATTGTTGAAAAATATACTGCTAGGCAATAGAATAGTTAGAATTGGGGTTTCTAAAGCAATAGTAAATGGCTTTGAGGTCCTAAGAGGTTAGAGAAACTGAGGTATGATAAAAAATAAGTGAAATGTCCAAAGTCAGGGTCAGAGGTCAGGACTAAAGCAAAGAGTTCTAGGATTAATATTCTCTCTCACTGGGGGAAGTGTTTGACTGATGGCAAGAGAACCAAAAATAGTGGTAATTAGATTAGTAATTCACAGACACACAGGCACCTGCACTTTGCGCCTCTGCATGTTTTAGGGTTTGGCTGCTATTTTGAAGAGTAAATTACTAGATTAAAGCAATGCTCTAACCCTACAAGCTCTTAGCATCCCAGAATTATGCTGACAGTCTACTGGGAGAAAGAACTTTTCAAGTATCTTAGGAACTAGCCAAGTAAATAGGAAACAAATATGCTATTTTCATGAAATGAATATTTATTGAGCACCCGCTATGTGCCAGGCCCTCTGTAGGCAGGAAGATGCAGTTAAGGTCCTTGCTGTCATGGGGCTGACCTTCTATCATTAAACAGCACCTCACTGGCAGGCTGTGGAAGATCATGGGGATACTTGAATTAAGTGACGGAAAATCTTGAAATCCAGTTTTGGGGGAAAAGAACAGATTTTTGAGATGCTTGATGGGAAGCCATTGGCCCCTATCCAGCCAGGAATAAAGGAAGAGAAAAATTATTTTGCAAAAACTTTTCTATTTTGATGAGCTTCTTTTGATGTAAACCTGGCACGTGAAACACAACAATATGGTTGCTCTTGGTCAGTAAACCCAGGGACAAGTTAGGTGGCATAATTTAATGAGCTTAGTACTGATCTCTTACAGTAATCAATAAACATTCACTTCTTAACCATCCTCAGAGGTGGCTTGCTGCCACCACCAGTTATTCTGTTAGACTGGTGAATGTTGAAAAAGCGGTGGTGAGCAGAAACATTTTACCTGTACATTTAGAAACAGTCTATCCCCTGCAATTTTGAGGACTTTCTCAAGCTGCCAATTAACCAGTTTTCTTGACTGTGCTTTTTGATTTATAAAGTTTATTCTCTACTCTAAGTAACAAAGTTGTACTCTAAGGTTATACAGATCTCTGTGGTCATCATAAAATCAAGTTCATCAGCTTGGAAAAAGACTTGCTATTGTTCTTACAGAATGTCCAGTCTTATCCAATGTCCCAATGGACTTAAGATAGTTTCAATTTACAAAATCAACTCATTCTCTAGTTCAGACAGCAACAGTAGTTTCGTGCTCTGTTAAACATCAAAAAGTTGAAGTAGTTTAATTTATGAGTAACTGGAGAGATTTGCTATCTATTTCTTAGGAAGAGGGGTCTATTTTGGTTCTTTGGTACCGGCATTAAGGGGACAAAAAGCCAGGCCTTTTTCTTATTTAAAACTTTTTTGAAATTACAAAAATAATGTGCTTCTTTCCGAAAAATCAGTAACTAAGCAGAAAAAGAAAAATCACACACAATTCCACCAATCACTGAGAGACCTAGTTAACGTCTTGGTGTTTATCTGTCCCCCACTTTTCTGCCTCCACATATGTTTTTAAATTGGAATCCTATAGTGTATTGTGACTCGTTTCCTCGCCCACTTAACCTTCACATCGCTCCAGGTCATCTTGCATCATTTCCTGATAACTGTTCTCAAAAAGACCTAAGTGACCACGGACCAGCAGAGTTTCAGAGTCTGCGTGACCAACACGTGCGGAGTTCCGCCGCCAGTTCCCGCAGCAGAATAGCCCGCAAGGTCCTCATGCCGGAACCGCACCACGCTTTCTCCGGGGCCTGGGCAGCGGTGGGGAGAAGCGCTCTGCGGACCCAGGGGCCCCATTCCCAAAGATGCCAGTCTCCCCCACCCCACCCCACCCCAATCCCCCTTACACAGCAGAGGTCCAATTCTGGGGAGCCCGG